CCCTATACGAGACACTGGAGAGTCCCCATAGGGGGGGCTGCAAGTGGGATTCAGCCCTATAGGGGACCCCACAGACCCGTTGCCATGGGGCTCAGCCCTATAGGGGACACTGGAGAGTCCCCATAGGGGGGGCTGTAGGGAGCCACAGGTGGGGCTCAGCCCTATAGGAGATGCTGCAGAGACCCCATAGGGGGGCTTCGGCCCTATATGAGGCTGTAGGGAGACACAGCTGGGGCTCAGCCCTATAGGGGACCCCACAGACCCGTTGCCATGGGGCTCAGCCCTATAGGAGACGCTGCAGAGACCCCAAAGGGGGGCTTTGGCCCTATATGAGGCTGTAGGGAGCCACAGGTGGGGCTCAGTCCTATAGGAGATGCTGCAGAGACCCCAAAGGGGGGCTTTGGCCCTATATGAGGCTGTAGGGAGACACAAGTGGGGCTCAGCCCTATAGGAGACGCTGCAGACACCCCAAAGGGGGGCTTCGGCCCTATACGAGGCTGTAGGGAGCCACAGGTGGGGCTCAGCCCTATAGGAGACGCTGCAGAGACCCCAAAGGGGGGCTTCGGCCCTATATGAGGCTGTAGGGAGACACAGCTGGGGCTCAGCCCTATAGGGGACCCCACAGACCCGTTGCCATGGGGCTCAGCCCTATACGAGACACTGGAGAGTCCCCATAGGGGGGGCTGCAAGTGGGATTCAGCCCTATAGGGGACCCCAAAGACCCGTTGCCATGGGGCTCAGCCCTATAGGAGACACTGGAGAGTCCCCATATGGGGGGCTGTAGGGAGACACAAGTGGGGCTCAGCCCTATAGGAGACGCTGCAGAGACCCCATAGGGGGGCTTCAGCCCTATATGAGGCTGTAGGGAGACACAGCTGGGGCTCAGCCCTATAGGAGACACTGCAGAGACCCCTTGCTGTGGGTCTCAGCCCTACAGAAGACCCTAAAGACCCTTTGCCATGGGGCTCAGCCCTATAGGGGACCCCAGAGACCCCTTGCTGTGGGGCTCAGCCCTATAGGGGACCCCTTACTACTGATCCCCATAGCACTCCGTCCACACTATAGGGAACCCTATAGATCCCAATAGCTTCCCTGTACC